TCCGTCACATGATCAACATGCAGGTGGCGTAATGGATAATGGCTTGGAATTGTTAATCAGAGGGCTGAGTTCAAATTCCAGTTGGATTCATTATATTCACTTAAGGTGGGAAAGATATGAATCCACCACTTCTCCCACCAGCTAGGGGTTAATTAGTAATTACTTGTATTACTAAATGATTATTATCTCCCCACTGCAAAAATTTTACAATCTAAAAATATTTTCTGGCTTTAAATAACCTCCAAAAATTAGAAAACAAATCAATCGATGAAATAAAGATTACCACATGGGCATGTAATTTCCATTTATTTACATTCTCTATAATAGAAACTATCGTGGCCACAAAGTTAGGGATCAGTTTATATATTGAGTTTCATAACGAATCGGTCCCCCACTTTACATCCACATTATAATTTCTTACTTATTTATCCAATTCTAATTAGGTATGAATCTACCACTCCCTAGCTATGGGTTAATTAGTAATACATGTATAATTAAATCTGCCCCCCCAAATCTTACAAAATAAATATATTTTCTGGCTTTAAAATACCTGTGTTGGGTTGATTAGCCATAGAAAACGAATCAATCAATCATTGAAATACTGATTAGCTACACAGACATGTCTTTTAGATTTATTTGCATTCTCTGGATTATAAATGTATAGAAACTACAGTGGCCACAAAGTGAGGGATCAGTTTACATATTGATTGTAATACAGAATTGACTCACCACTTTATATCCACATTATAATTTATTTGTTTATCAAAATCTGATTAGGTATGAATCCACCTCTTCTCCCCTTGCTATGGGTTAATTAGTAGTACTTGTATTACTAAATCTCACCTTCAAATTCTTTCAAACTAAATGTTTTCTGGCTTTAAATTACCTACGTAGGGTTGATACGCCATAGAAAACGAATCAATCAATCAACGAAATCGTGATTATTTACTCAGGTATGTCTTTTAGATTTATTTACATTCTCTGGAATAGAAATGTATAGAGACTGTCATGGCCATAAAGTGAGGGATCAGTTTATATATTGATTTTAATAGAGAATTGGTCCCCCACTTTATATGCACATTATAATTTCTTGTTTGTTGATAAGCCTAAGAAAACGAATCAATCAATCAATTAAATACTGATTAGCTACACAGGCATGTCTTTTAGATTTATTAGCATTCTCTGGAATATAAATGTACAGAAACTACAGTGGCCACAAAGTGAGGGGTCAGTTTATATATTGACTGTAATATAGAATTGATCCCCCACTTTATATCCACATCATAATTTCTTATTTGTTTATCAAATTCTGATTGGGTATGAATCCACCTCTTCTCCCCTGCCCCCACCCAAAAAAAATATATGGCACCAGACAATATGTGACATCTTTATTTCTATACTAGGCCTGTTAGGGAGGTACTTATAACCAAGCATATACAATGATTTTTTTTTCTTTTATTTTCTTTGCCTTTTATGCCTTGTGAGTGTTAAACTCGCCAAACCTTTTACCGCATTATGTCCCCTCAAATTCTCAGCCGTTTTTTTCTTTGTCGTTGCTTATCCTTTTTTGGGACTTTACCGTTTCTCAGCTAACCCTTTTTTTTCTTTTTACTTTCGACCCTTATCACGAAAGCAACACTCAGTGTAATTCCAAACAGGTTTGCCTGGTTTGCTTGAAAGCTGACCGAAATAGCTTTCAGCGAACACACAAAGTGGCGATTCCCAGGACCTGCCACTTCACACGAATGAAAATCCAGATTTATGTGATTCTATATTCACCTTGTCAGGTGCTTTCGTTTTTTTTTTTTTTTTTTTTTTATTTCTTTCTGCAGTTAACTGTCATCATATCACAAACACATTTCTTCTCGCAAGCCACAGAAGGTTTCATTATTTCATTTACGAAGCATTAAAAACTGCTTAATTGCATGGTTGCATTTATGCAACATTTCACATTCTTTTTACATTATTGTGCCCCCAATACAAGGCCACTCAAGGTAGAGTGTTACTGAATTTGGTTGTTTTATGAATATTACAGGAAGAGGTAAGCAATGAAGATTATAACATTAGAAAGGATAGCTAAATGAGTAGTCTTATCTTTTTTACTAATTGCTTCCCCAATACAAGGCCCAAAAGCCACTCAAGGTAGAGGGTTACTGAATTTGGTTGTTTTATGAATATTAGAGGAAGAGGTATGTAATGAAGATTATAACATTAGAAAGGATAGATAAATGAGTAGCCTTTTTTTTTACTTGTTACCTCAATACCAGGCCCAAGGGCCACTCAAGTTAGAGGGTTACCGAATTCGGTTGTTTTATGGACATTACAGGAAGAGGTAAGTAATGAAGCTTATAACATTAGAAAGGATAGCCAAATGAGTAGCGCAAAAATAAAGACTTAAACTCCTGCTCGGAGCGTAACGATAAAAGAAGAAAATTTTTTATTTACATACACCAAAAAGTATAAGACAAATGAGAGAAAGAAAATTCCTTTAATTTAAAGGTAGAAAATGTGTTCATATAAAGGCTTGTTCAAAATATTTCTCTGAGCGCCTAAAAGCTTTTTAAGCGAGTAGACTGTTCTTAAGGGGTTAACACTTAGATAGATTTCTTCAGAGCTCTTGTTGAGGAGGAAACTGAGATCAGAATTTTGCAGTTGAGTGAGTTTGTAGGCCAACAACGGGAATTTTCATGATGCAAGGAACCAGATCTCAATTAGTTTTTTTTTTTAGTAGAGGCCCGACGGTGTGTCTTTATAGCCCAGCTAGAATATCTCTTCCTTGAAATTGTTCCGAAGATAACCAGTGTTCTATCGCCTACCTGAAGGTATCAAATACTCACTGCCAAAGAGGTACACATTCTCCATATTTATAGAGATTAAGAGGCTCAGAAAATATCAGGGACTTTTCCCTCCAGAATTGCTATACAATTTCCTGGCCCCCTCATTCGTCAGAAAATATATTCTTATCTCTGATAAGGATCAAGGTTTTGGGAGCTGCTTTTTGGAAGCAAGGGTCCAACAAATTCTAAGCCTTACACCCAGACTTTGTGGCACCATGGTCAGGGTAAAGATGGTCAAATTCCTTTTGATATTTTCTAGCTCTCTAGTTTATCAGAAAATACATTCTTATCTCTGATAAGGATCAAGGTTTTGGTGCCAGATTTGGGAGCCGAATTTGAAAGCAGGGGAAAAAGTTGGGGCAAGGATTAGAAAAGAGGCTTGAACGTCAACTTGTAAAACATTATAGTAGTGGTATTCAAATTAAATTTTAATAAAGTACGTTTTCAGAAAGTTTTACTCAGCTTAGAAAAACCTCTTATTTGAAACAGCAAGATTTCAAATATACTCAGTTAGCACAATAGACAATGAAAGACAAAGTAGGCAGCTGTTGATAATATTTTTTTACAAAATGTTTTAGATACGTCGACAACATTAGTTTTTCTCTTTGTTCTTAATGAAAGACAATATTTTTTTATAGTTTATAGATATATGAAAATATAAAAAAGTCATATCAAACAGAAAAGTATGATGGATTAATTATGATCATAAAAATATATTACATGGTATGACTAAAAACTTAAAATGTATTAACTGGTCAGGTTTGCTTTGTTTGTTTTGTTTTACGGCACATCAACCTCAATGGGTCATTTAATGACGACAACTTTTTTTCTTTTTTTCCTGGTAATATTTTTGGTTTGGTTTGGTTTGTTTTGTTTTACGGCATAACAACCTCAATGGGTCATTTAATGACGACAACTTTTTTTCTTTTTTTCCTGGTAATATTTTTGGTTTGGTTTGGTTTGTTTTGTTTTACGGCATAACAACCTCAATGGGTCATTTAATGACGACAACTTTTTTTCTTTTTTTCCTGGTAATATTTTTGGTTTGGTTTGGTTTGTTTTGTTTTACGGCATAACAACCTCAATGGGTCATTTAATGCCGACAATTTTTTTTTCCTGATAATATTTTTGTTTTGTCAAAAATCTATTTCCGTTAATATTTTTTTCCTCAAAAACGTACAGCTGGCAACATTATTTTTTCAAAAACGTATTATCAGAGGCCTTGCTGTTGGACGTAGTTTATCGTCTTACCCAGGACGCGGATGTAGTTTATCTTCATACCCAGGACGCGGGTGTAGTTTATCGTCATACCCAGGACACACCTGGTATGACTAAAACCTTAAAATGTATTACATGGCATGACTAAAAACTTAAATTGTATTACCTGGTAAGATTAAAAACTTAAAATGTATTACCTCCTATGACTAAAGACTTAAAATGTATTAACTAGTATGACTAAAACCTTAAAATGTATTACATGGCATGACTAAAAACTTAAATTGTATTACCTGGTAAGATTAAAAACTTAAAATGTATTACCTCCTATGACTAAAGACTTAAAATGTATTAACTAGTATGACTAAAACCTTAAAATGTATTACCTGGTATGACTCAAATTACACATGTACGTACATACACACCAAATATATATGCATCGTATGTATTAACACGCATTAACATTATTACTCTCACTCAGAGTCACTAGAAAACAATTCACTGTTAAGAACTCATTCTCGAATTGCCCCCTCTTATTCTGTTGGTATAGTAAGCCGAAGGGTGCACATCCTACGCCTGCCCCACCAAAATATTACCATGCCCCACCGGTGGTGCATGCGCCCCACGTTGGGAATCTTTACGCTAGAATCAAAAAGGATGAAATTGGCTCAGTTAAAAAGAATAAAAATTCCGATTTACACTGGCGTCAAAATGGTAAACATAGGTCAGGTTTAAAATAGAATCTGAAAGTTATTAGGTTGGTGCAAAAATAATGTCGTTTTTTGACGTTCAACTTAACGTCAAAAAACGACATTATTTTTGCACCGACCTAATAAGATATGCATCCAGTTTTACACTAGAGTGAAAAATCTCGAAACATATTTGAACTAAAAGTCCAGACTGTCTCCCTATCTCAGGTGGTTCACATCATTCTTATTCTGTTGATAGGTTCTTGATTATCTATCTATCTATCTATCTATCTATCTATCTACCTATCTATCTATGTCAGCCTTTTCATTATCGATCTATCTCAGTCATTTCATTTTCTTTCTTTCTTTGTTTCTTTCTTTCTTTCTTTCTTTCTATCTATCTCGGTCTTTTAATTATCTATCTATCTATCTATCTATCTATCTATCTATCTATCTATCTATCTATGTCAGCCTTTTCATTATCGATCTATCTCAGTCATTTCATTTTCTATCTTTCTATCTATCTATCTATCTATCTATCTCAGTCTGTTCATCATCTATCTATCTATCTATCACTGTTCATATCTATCTATCTATCTATCTATCTATCTATCTATCTATCTATCTATCTATCTATCTCGGTCTTTTAATTATCTATCTATCTATCGATCTATATATCTATCTATCTCGGTCTTTTAATTATCTATCTATCTATCTATCTATCTATCTATCTATCTATCTATCTATCTATCTATCTCGGTCTTTTAATTATCTATCTATCTATCTATCTATCTATCTATCTATCTATCTATCTATGCTCCTGTCCGTCGGTTGAGCAATTTGGAAGTAAGGATATTTGACGGCTGCTGCTACTTCTATAATGTTAAGTTCTTTCTGATGAATAGAACACTCTGGCAGCTGGTAATGCGTATATCATGTATATAATGCGTTAACAATACCCTAATAACTCCTTCTCGATTTGCCCCCTTACTCTGTTGGCATAATAAACCGAAGGGCGCACTTCCTACGCATATCACACCAAAATATTACCATGCCCCACCGGTTGGGAATCTTTGATTTAGATACTGTATGCCAGTTACACATGTACGTACATACACACCAAATATATATGCATCGTATGTATTAACGCGTATTAACATTTTTCACTCAGATTCACTAGAAAACAATTCACTGTTAATAACTCATTCTCGAATTGCCCCCTTATTCTATTGGTTTAGTAAGCCGAAGGGTGCATATCCTACACATGCGCAACCAAAATATTACCATGCCACACCTGTGGGGCATGTGCTCCACTTTGAGAATCATTGCTCTGTTCCAACCAATGTCTCCCTTGGATTCACGACAGATTGACAATTTGCTGCCATTTACTTTTATGAAAGCACAGTTAGATATTGTAGAGGAATCTCCCTTGTCCGTCTAAGTCGCCATAAAATTCTCGATGTTTGATATTTCTTGTTGCAAATAACGTCACCTCCTGTACCCCCTACTTTTAATATTTAATATCGCTTTGTCATTCAAAATGATAGAGGTCAAAGTTTGCTCAAGAGAAATGGCTTTCTTTTTTTTTTTTTTTGGTAGCTGCCAAACAAAATTAGCAATTACTGCTGATGTGTTCACCGACATCAAATTTGTTAAAATTTTGGTTGGGGATAGGACTTGACAGATATTCAGAAATGAGCATTTAAGAACCTAATTTTAGGAAATTTTATCAAATTTTCAAATGTTGTGCCAAGTGTTTTTTTTAATTTTCTGATCCACTTGACAGGAGCTGGATTGAGGCCAATAGATATCGTAAACACAACCTAAAAGTGGAGCCCCTCTCAGCTCTCCTCTGATAACAAGTAGGCCTCGATTAGTGCTTCTAAATTAGTATCCAAATGCATTCTCATAGTTAAGATATCTACCGCTTTATACTACAAAGTGATTTAATTCAAGAGCAATTCAGAAAACTTAATTCGACCAAATCCTTGAGTGCTTAATTCTCCAAACAATCTATCCTCATTATGGATCTCAGAAATTCTATCTGTTTCTTTATTATTTTACTCAATAAAATATAATGTTAAAAGAAATGAAAAATATTGCCGGATAAAAAATAAAATTCATTAATTCTTTAGAAATATATATATATATATATATATATATATATATATATATATATATAGTTAAGATATGAAAAACTTGATAATCCGTATGGGTAGTCCCAAGGAGGATGAAATCCTGAGAGCTCAATGTAAATCTAGAGCTAATATTTTAAAGAAAAACAGACCACTTTATGGTTCCATTATAATAATTTATTTCACCAGAGCCCTTTTGAAGGACTCTGGATCATCAGATTGCACTTCCAAAAGATGAAACGAAACGAAACGAAATGAAATGAAAATTCATACTTTTGATGGGTAGTGTAAGTTTTTTGTAATTTAACATGTCTCTCAAACCACCCCTCATTACCCCCTCTCTTAAATTACAGATTGAATTAAATTGTTACCCATCAAAAATATGAATTTTCATTTCGTTTCGTTTCATCTTTTGGAAGTGCTATTTAATGATCCAGAGTCATTTAAAAGGGCTCTGGTGAGATAAATTATTATAATAGAACCTTAAAATGGTCTGTTTTTTCGTTAAAATTATAATATATATATATATATATATATATATATATATATATATATATATATATATATAATACTAATAATCTTTGTTTTAGCTTGTAAATGAACAAACCAATACCCAAAGGGAAAAAGGGGCGGGGAAAGAAAGAACTAAGAACATGTATTTCCGGTGAAAATAATCGTCTAGAATCTAAGTTCAGAGTCCAAAGAAAAAAAAAACCTCCGACACGAGTAAAAGTAAAAATAACTAAGTACTCAATACGCTAAGTAGAGCAAACTGAGTAAACCTAAAAAGAGCCAGACAAACCTACCTATAAATATATATATATATAGATAGATATATTGATAGATATATATATATATATATATATATATATATATATATATATATATATATATATATATATATATATATACGTGGTAACCTAGGGAAGGTTACTGAATAGAATAGTCACACGAAGGTTGGTAATGAACGATAATACTTAGGACACGAACAATACATATAAGATTCGCCAGCGGCGCGTAGAAGAAGTAGTCAACTGCTAGAAATGAGTCAAGTGACACAATGAATCTCTAATTGCAGGATATCTACCAACCGCCCCACGCGGACAGATCTGGCACAAGGCCGAATGTCGGCTTGGCCAGAAATTCCTTTTAGACCCCGTCGGGTGGCTTTTACCCGAGACAAAACTCTGCCCTTCGACATAGCCTTGTCTGTAGATCCACTCAACCTGTGGGCAGAGAGTTTGACCAGCATAGTCAGAATCTCAAACTGCAGGATATCTACCAACCGCCCCACGCGGTCACATGTGGCACAAGGTTGAATTTAATGCGGGGTATCCGAGCCCGTAGGGTCGGCCTAAAATTCCCCGTAGTCGGATAGTTGTTTCCCGAGATGAGACTCTGCCCTTCGAGATAGCCTACTCTGAGAGTAGAACCAGTGCAGGTGTAGACGAAGCTCCAACTGAGACCAACATACAGTATCTACTACTGTATTTATCTGAATGAGGACATACCACTACCGTCCCGTAGATATGCTACAACAATATATATATATATATATATATATATATATATATATATATATATATATATATATGTGAAAAGTGTATATAAATATAAATAAATATATATATATGTATAATTATTTATATATTATATGCGGTACTTATTAAAAGCGCTCAATATCAGAGATAGAGCTAACATATTTGGTTGGATATATATATATATATATATATATATATATATATATATATATATATATATATATATATGTGTATTTCAGTTGGGCAGCAATCACTCTTTTTTATACATGTTTCATTAAAACAACTGACAAGGTAATGCGGTTAAATTTTTTCTTGTGTTTTTATAATTTTATTCTTTTTTGGACGTAAGTTATATAGAAATTGTTCGAATGTTCTGTATGTCCGAGCGCTTGTAGCCTTTGTCAAGGATGGTTTTATTTTTACGTTTAACTGAATGCATGGATTTTTTTTTATGTATGTGTCTATTTAAGCAATGTTTTATTTTCCTAACATGGCTAGTATATTGCGACCGTGTTCAGTGTTGACATTATTGAGTGTTGGCTTTTCATCAATAACGTTTCTTTTATTTTTAGCCTTTTTTTAACATTCGCTTGAGGCTATTATTTCTGTATTATCAATGAGTATGTTCCGCATGGAGTTTGGTAGGTCTCTATGAGACATAATTGAGCTATGGTCCGGGAGATGTAAAGTGAGTCTTCTTGTTAGGATAGTTGTAGTATACCCCATATAATTATATGTTATTGATTTGATCAGGAAATATATATATATATATATATATATATATATATATATATATATATATATGGTTCCTGTTTCAAAAAAAAAAAGAAAGAAAGTTTGAAGGAAAAGAGGAAAAACAAGGAAACGTATTCTTTTGTTTAATCAATACACCCCAAGCAAGGCGATAATGCCAATAAGACAAAAGGGACTACTAGGAACGAAAGGGAATGAAAAACCGAAAATCAGATTATAAACAAGGAACAAGGGATGAGCCTGTACTCCTGTTCAAAAGGCCAAAGTGTAGTGTTAACCAGACAATAGGCGAAGATATCTACTCCAATTGATTAGAAATCATATTACTAGAAATTTATGCATTTAAGAGAGATTGCTGTCCAAATATACAACTCTCTTCTCTCTCTCTCTCTCTCTCTCTCTATCTATCTATATATATATATATATACAGTGGGTAGCAAAATAAATGTTTCTCAAAACAGTGGTTTAAAATTTTCCTTCTATGTTTTGATCGACAATGTTCGTTTAAATATTTCTTATAAGTTTCGTTGAAATTGATCTGTTATTTTTTGAGATATGTAAGAAAAACCAATGTGTTAAATATTTTTGCTACCCACTATATATATATATATATATATATATATATACACTAATAATAAAAAGATGGTAATCTGTATGGAATTTCCAAGAGGATAAATATCTAAGGAAAGCCCTATGTCTGAGACAGAGCGAAATTATTAATTACTGAATATCAAACACCAAAACTCCCAAATAATTATTAATCTAGAATACTGTCAACCATCTTTTTAGTAGAAATTTATGCATTTAAGAGAGATTGCTGTGCAAATGCACAACAAACTCTCTCTCTCTCTCTCTCTCTCTCTCTCTCTCTCTTTCTCGGTATATCCGCTTAGGTGAAACCTGGGTAGGTTTATCTGGCTGATTAGGTCTGCTCTACGGTTGTAGTGAGCTCTTTTTAGTTAGTTGTTTTTTTCTTTGGGCTTTGAACCTGTATCTGTGTGATTTTTTTCGACACTTTCATGTTTCTAGCTCTTTCTTTTTTAAAAACCTTTCCTTCCTTCGGGATTGATTTGATTATTGGCAAATCAAAAATTGAAGGTTTTTAAAAATATATATATATATATATATATATATATATATATATATATAAACCTAAATAGCCAGGCAAACCGACCTAGGTTACACCTAAATGGATCGTCAGAGTAAAGCTCTAAAGAGGCCAGCTTTACCCTGACGATCCGTTTAGGTGAAACCTAGGTCGGCTTACCTGGCTATTTAGGTTTATCTTAGGGTTTGCTCTACTTCGTGTATTGAGCACTTTACGTAGTTGCTTTGAATCGTTTTGGAGGTTTTTTTCTTTGGACTCTGAGCTTGAATTCTGTACGATTGTTTTCACCTCAATTTCATGTTCTTAGTTCTTTCTTCTTTTTATTCCTCATTTTGCTTGCATATTGATTTGTTCTATTACAAGCCGAAATAGCCATGGTTTTTCCAGGCGAGTACCACTATATATATATATATATATATATATATATATATATATATATATATATATATATATAATAATCGACTGTCCTGTCGAGATTCGACGTATGAGGGTCAAGCAGATCAGTTTCAGGAAACCGACAGCCGGACACCGGCACATGAGATTTGATTATAGTGATGAAGGCCTCGTGCAGGACCATCCACACTTTTTGAAGGGACGAATACAGAGACCTGGTGCAGCGAATGCCACAAGGTTCCCAAACGACCCTCCGCACGGTGGAGTAATGGATAGCGGCTTGGATTGAGGATTGACGCTTACGTGCTAATACCCTTGGGAAAGGTATGAATCGTCTTCCACTCCCTCCAGCTATGGGTAAAATAGCAGGACAGACTGGATTCTATAGCCTTGGATGGCAACTGGTCTAGGAGAAGGACAACTCTGAATATATATATATTTGTAACAAACAGTTATTTCTGATGAAAAATTGAGGACAATTTGAAATATCAAATATATATATAAATAAATAAATACTTTCATAAAATAAAACATTATAATTTTAATTTGAAACTTTTTCTATATATACATATTAAGAAAGTATACGTGGCTTCTCATTATGCTATATATATATATATATATATATATTTTATCATTTTATATATATATATATATATATATATATATATATATATATATATATATATATAATAAAAATGATAATCCGTATGGAATTTCCAAGAGGATAAAGATCTAAGGAGACAGAGCGAAATTATTAATTAATGAATATCAAACACTAAAGCTCCCATAGGTAATGAATTTTTCGTGGTGGTGTAATGGTTAGCAAGCTTATCTTGCTAGAACAGTTACGACTGAGTAGTGAGTTCGATCCTCACTGGGTGCCCCATACTTTCGGCGTTGTGCCACATCTGGGCTCAGCTTCGAAAATCACTATATATTCTTTTAAATTACAAATATCAATTATCTCCCTTAGATAAGGTTAATTTTTTAATTAACAAAGTGACGTGCCGATAAGACGTGAAAGGACTTACCACAACTATAAATTACATTAACTTTTTATTTTAGCAGTTCACCCCCTGAAGATAATTGATGAGATTGAAAATACATAGGAAAATAAAAAAAATGAAACTGACCCGTGAATTTGAGAAGATTAAGATAAAAATAAATAGACATTATTTGGACTATTGTCCTCATCTTTGTCGCCATATTTATCACAACGCTTCGGCGGTTGTACGCTCCGGCCTTCTTCAGGTGGTTGGAATTTCGAACTGACATGAACCTTTATTTCGCTCACTGGGTAGACGTGTCATGTTTGATGGATGTCAGTTATCGCCTAATTTGCATCTGAAAGTTCTCCACTGCCTTAACCAGGTATTGAACTCACACTCTTTGCGTTCTGTCACTGGATCTAACCAACGACTTTATCCACTGTGCCATGTATCCTCATCTCATAAATATAGACAGACTCTGAAATAAATAGACATAATAGGTCTAGATTATTCAACCAAATATATATTATATATATATATATATATATATATATATATATATATATATATATATATATATATATATATATATATATATATATATATATATATATATATATATATATATATATATATATATATATATATATATATATATATATATATATATATATATATATATATATATATATATATAAATATCAAACACTTAAAATACCATAGATAATAATTTTATTTCATGAAAGCTATGAAAATTATCTTTCAATCTTTCAGGCCTTCAAATTTCTCCAGATTAAAATCAAGAGATACTGATATATTGAGGGATGGGGGAGAAAGAGAAGGAAAGATTCAAATTTATGAAAATGTAATGGTGGTGGAGGGTTGGGAAGAGAAAGAAATCTCAAGGATTTATTCTCAGTAGTAAATAAAGAAATAAAGATTATTACCTATTTTATTTTATGTGTTTGATATATATATATATATATATATATATATATATATAATGAATATCAAGCACTTAAAATAACATAGGTAATAATCTTTATTTCTTCTATCACTGATAGTGTGTAATTTGACCCATAAATATGACAGACCTCAAAATTATATATGTGATGTTTCTTATAAAGGTCCCTGATAATCCTGGCCATAAATAAACTCCAAAACCAGACCGCTTCCCCCGGGATAAGATACCTAATGCTCCCAACAATCGTTAACACAAATCCACTCTCATTAACAAGGCGTCTACTAGAGGAGGACCGACTTTGAAAATAAATTTAGAACAATGCTCCGAGACAAGCACTTAGAGGCTGATGATAGCCGTGTAAAGAACGTTTTGAAATAGACTATAACTATATTGAGGTAATTTTTGTTTTGATTTTTGCTGTAATATATATATATATATATATATATATTTTGTAGGTCTGATGAATTGGATCGTATGTACGATTCCAATGGAATAAATTATGACCATGGAATAATAGTGTTTAAGCCTTTTTATTATATCCTTACTCTGTCCTGGACATTGAGTTCTACCTGGATTCTATCATCTCCGAATTTTTTTATTAAAAATATACATATATGTGTATGCACCTATATGTATATCTATCTATATATTTTGCATATGTATGTGTATATTTACCACTAATATTATATATATATATATATATATATATATATATATATTAAAATGGTAATCCGTATGGAATTTCCAAGAGGATAAAGATCCAAGGAGAGCTCTATGTCAGAGACAGAGCAAAATTATTAATTAATGAATATCAAAGACTTAAAAGACCATAGGTAATAATTTTTATTTCATGAAAGTTATTAAAAAATATCTTTCAATCTTTCAGACCTTCAAACCGAATACAAACGGAAAAAATTACTCCAGATTAAATCCAAGATATACAGATATTGTATTAAGGGAGAGGGAGAAAGAGCAAAGGAAAGATTTAAATTTATGAACATGTAATGGAGGTGTAGGTGAGGGGGTGGGGAAGAGAAAGGAAGAAGACCCGTGGATTTATTCTCAGTAATGAATAAAATAAAAATAAAGATTATTACCTATGGTATTTTAAGTCTTTGATATTCATTTATATATATATATATATATATATATATATATATATATATATATATATATATATAAGATATCTTTGTCTGCAGGACCGGTGCAACTTTATCATGGCTTCCCTGAATCTATAATCTACCACTCCTCCCGCCCACTCTGCAATATCCTAATTTTCATAAGGTGATATTCATATAAAATACGAATATAATTGTAAACTCATAATGTGCAATAATGAATCCGATGCAATATATGTGAACAATTCAACTAGAAAAAAATGAAAATAAATACAATGTGTCTAAATGCAAATTAGAGATATGTCATAATAGATCATTATATAATATATATATATAAATATAAATATAAAAGTGAACATTGAAGTCAACACTCAGAGGCGGCAGGGTGTTTCATGCTGTCTCATGTTGCCACTCGGAGTTGATTTCAGGGGTCACGCATATATATATATATATATATATATATATATATATATATATATATATATTAAAATGGTTAACCGTATGGAATTTCCAAGAGGATAAAGATCCAAAAAGAGCTCTATCTCCGAGACAGAGCAAAATTATTAATTAATGAATATCAAAGACTTAAAAGACCATAGGTAATAATCTTTATTTCATGAAAGTTATAAAAAAATATCTTTCAATCTTTCAGACCTTCAAACCGAATATAAACGGAAAAAAATTACTCCAGGTTAAAATCAAGAAATACTGATATCTTATCGAGGGAGTGGAATAAGAAAGCTCGCCACAGCTTCCTCTCTTTTGTTGCGCCAAATAACTTTTGAATCTTTATTATCACTCTTTGACCTTTTTCTGCCACCCATTCACTTCTTTTGCCATATGACATGTTCTTTCAAGACATGGGCGATCATGGCTCTCCACAACTTCCTATCTGTTGTTGCTTTAACTACTTTTTAAAACTTTATCATTCCTCATTGTTCTTTTTCTGCCACAAAACAACTTCTTTTATGTACCATATCCTTTAGGACATGTATGGTCATGGCTCTCCACAACTTCCTGTTTTTGTTGATTTAAGTACTTTTTGAAAATTTATCATTAATCTTTAACCTTTTTATGTTCCATGTGCATTCTGGACGTGCGCGATCTTAGCTCTTCACAACGTCCTTTTTACTGTTCTTTGAATGAATGTTCTATCATTCATCATAAATATTTTTACAGTAACTCTATCTTGCAAGTCTCTTGAGCCTTGTATTGAATTAAATTATGTATTCAAAATGTCATTATCTATCCTCCTTATCTACATCATCTAAACCTCCTGCCACCTTCTCTTTTATTCATATCACACA